GAAATTCAGATGCCACGGGCCTGGGGCGGGGGTAGAACTCTACCCGTCCCCATCCTGGCCTGGGAAGTGTAGAATGATACCTGCCACACGAGGAGGCTGTGAGGGTCGGCAATAACGAGCGCAGACTGCCTGCCACGCCGACAGCTCGGCTCGTACAGCTGGTGTGGGTGGTAGCCCTGTGCTACGGAGGGCACGGTCTCTCCCAAGGGGAGCGGCAAGCCCAGCCGGCTGTCAGTCGGTGGTGAGTGGACAGCGGTGGAAGCCACTGGCCCACGGTGGGTCGGCCTTGGGGCAACCTTGGGATGTGGGTGGTGAGTGGACAGCGGGGGAAGCCACTGGCCAACGGTGGTTCGGCTTGAGGACACACTGGGAATGTGCTCGCAGGCCCGGGGTCCCAACCGGCTGGAGGTTTGGAAGGCTGCTACTGGGCGCCTCTGTCCACCGCTGTCTTACACCCCTGCTCTCTATCGTGAATCAGATAAGCCTCAGAAACCAAACGCAGGGCCAACGGCTTGTGCAGAGCTTAGAGCTGTGCAGAGAAAGCTGGGTCGCGCAAGGCCAGGCACGTGTGCACACGTGTGCAAAATCCTAACGAGACGAGGAAACCGACGAGAAAGGATGGCAGCGTGAGCACGGCCCTAGGCGTGCGGGGAGAGGCGCTTTCTCTACGCCACCCCCAGCTCTCAGGAGCATACAGGCCCTACGGCAATTAATTTAAAAAACTGACACTGTCCCTCGGCCCCCGCCCGAGCCAAGTGGGAGTGCAGACCCCTTTGCCCAGGCTTCTGACTTTTCAAAAGATTTGGGAAATTCAGGTTTTTCTTAAAAATCTCCTCATTTTTTTTTTTACTGTGACAACTCATTTAACCTCCCCCCCCCACCCCTACACCCCCCCCCCCCCCCCCCAGGAACTACATGGAGCAAACAAGTATCTCAGTGGGTGACTTGGTCACGGCCCCCCTTCCCGGATAATTGCTTAGGTCCCACTTCCTTTAAACCACAGAGGCTCACAAATGTACTGGCTACCCGGGAAAAGTCATTGTGCACCTTTGCATAGGAAACCAGAAAAATCCAACACGACCTTCCCAACGACCTCGTCCTTTTCTTAGCGACAGCCCATAATAAATGGATGTGGACTGGGAACCAAATAAACTAAGAGGAAAGGGATTAACTGAATAATCCCCAAGTCTGGTTTGCATTCCATCTGGTATTACGAGATGAAATGGCGGGGCGATGGAGGGAGGGAGATTGATCGACAGATTGGCAGCTACTTCTTTTGCCCATTGGCAAATATATAACCGTCAGGAGGAGGGGCTGGCGGTGGTGCCGCGGCAGAGCACAGACTGAGCCACATGGGGAGGCTCCCAGCTCGCATCTGGAGCCCTCCCTGAGTACTGGGGTTTGGGGGTGCTGGGGGTGGTTTCTGGCTCAGGGCCCTGTGGGTGATGTCAATCTGGCTCCGTCTCCTGCTCATGAGAAAGGTAAATAGAGATGTTTTTGTTTTTATAAATGGCAGGGGATGTGATATTGGGGGGTGGCGGGGAACTGGCTGTGATCGGAGCTTTAATTCACAGTGGTTACAGCCCCTGTGCGTTTCGGTACCCCTCACACACAGTGAGTTTCCATGGATTTACTCTGAGGTGGGACTTGACAGACCGACTTGTTTTAGCTTTGCTGTAGGGCACATGTGTTCATTGGAGGGAGAGGGAGAAAAAGACAGTGAGAAGTCACCCCCCCCCCAGGGGAGATGGCCACGCCACAATCCCTTCTCCATTTTCCTCTAGGGATTTTGGGCATGCATGCACGTGTGCCTGGTGTGTGTTTTAAGTTGCCAGGTCCAGGATTCGAACTGCAGTCTACTACATGGGAGTCCAGCAACGTAACCATTATGCCATCTACTGGCCCCAAGCCTGACGTATTTTTCAAGCCCATCAGGTCTGGGAATCAAATTGCACAGTTGGCCGTGAACTTTTGTGCCATCTGCTGGCCCGGGCTTTATCTTCTAACACATCTGTGGTTGCGGGTAAATGGCTCTAGTTTGTGTCTTTTTATTTATTGGACCAAATCACCCCAGCAACGCCTCAGTAGTCAGGTGTAATCCGGTTTGGTCTTTAACATGCTTTTAAAGTAAAGAAATAAATACAATCGAAGGCCGTAAAAGGCGGTTAGAGAATGGGCCTTGGCCCCATAACTTTAAAGTAATAGCTCCATTATGGAGGGGGACACACGATTTTTAACTGTTCCTCTGCATTTGTGCTGTAAGGCTGAGGGTTTTGCAGGCAGGTTGGGCATCTCAGTAAAAGCTTTTCCTGAAGCCACTTAACCTCCATTTACGAAGAAATAAAGCGAAATTGATGCTGATTTGGGCCTGCTTTGGGGGCTATTTCTGTTCCGTAAAAGCCCTTTTGCCTGCAATTTGCTGAGCTGCCCTGTCACAGCCGGAAGGGCCGCCGTTGATAAAGATAAAGCTTTATGGCCGCGATATTTGCTGCTAACAGCAACCTAATGCAGCATTTTCATTTTCGTGCAATTAATGTTAATGTCTGCTACGAAAATTGTCATTAAATACCATTTTAAAATCCATTCAATTTGCATATGCAAAGCCCATTCAGCATCACAGAAGATATAGGCAGTACTTCATCACGCCTTTCCCCTGGAATGGTGGCCACGCGGGTTGATAGCAATTTAAGATTCCACACTGAAAGCTGGATGATAACGGATGTCCTTTCTGAGCTTCTCTGACTTGAGTGATAGAAGGGACCGGAAACTGGGTGTTCACTTCAGTCCTGAGGAGGCAGGATGCATGGAGTGAGCCCTGGACAGGGCGTCTGCCAGCCTGGCTGTGGCCTGGCTCAGTTCACAGTTCGCAGTGTGGCCCCGAGGCGCTCTCCTCACCTCTCTGACCTCCTGTCTTCTCCTGGTTTAGATGAGGGCTTTGAACCAGGTGACCACTGATGTCCTGTTCTAACATTTGATATTTTCACATGCAAGCACACTAGAATGAGAATCAGGTCACTCCCCACCAAGAAGGTGTGTGAACTTGGGGAGGCCAGCCGGCCTCTCCCTGCTTCCTGCCTGCACAGGGTTACAAGGACAGGAAATAAAACTGGCATGCGGGTTTGTAGCCAAGCTGGGAGACAGAGCTCACTCTGAGATCAGCCGCCAGGCTTCCGGAGCCTGCCCCGGCTACAGGCGAGGGAAGGAGACCCTGGAGCAGGGCGGTACGTGGAGGGTCGGGGACAAAGCGGGACCCGGCACCTCAGGCTGCTCCCGGCCTGGGCTCCCCTCGACCCTGCGTGGTCCCAGCACGGACTCATCTCCCGTGTCTGCAGGGACTCTTCCACTTGGCTGCAGGCAGTCTGGGAAAGTGAGGCAGGGAGACCGTATGCTGAGGGCCACAGCAGAGGGGTCAGATCCGGCGGCGAGAATCAGGCAGACACCTCGGAGGGGCTGATGGGGGTGTTACAAGGTGAGGACAGAGGGAAACAATTAGTCAACCCCGCCCAGAGGTGACTTTGCGGTGTGTCCCCTCCCGGGTTTCGAGGACTGGTGAGTGAAACACATTTCCGGTTCTGGTGAGCAGGACATACCTCGTACCTAAGTCCCTGGGGCGTGGCAGATGACGGGCTGACCGACGGACAAGCAGTTCGCCCAGGAGGATGGTGTGGAGACAGGAGGAGAGAGGAGGCAAAGGGAAAGCCGACGGAGTGTGGAGCAGCCGTGCGGAAACAGCATGGTGAGCCCTTGGACGCTGGCCTGGAATGACCCCAGGGCCAGGAGCCCCGCTTCTGGGCACCCTCGAAAGGTCTGACGCAGATATTTGCTCCCCCAAGTTGAGAGCAGCAGTATTCCCGGCAGCCGAACAGGAGGCACCCAAAGGCTCCAGCCAGGGCTGAAAGGACGAACCGTGGTCCGCCCAGACAGTGGGACATCACTAAGCCTTTTGTCATGCTCTCACTGCAGGGCCTGCAGACATCACGGGGTGCAGAGGAGGCCAGGTACCAAAAGGCAAGCGCTAGGTTCGGGTTACAGGAGCTCGTGACCAGGAGCAGCGAGCTCACAAGACAAATGGGGGAGCATTTCCTGGGGACGGCGTTACGGCAGGGACACACCACAGTGTGACCGTGCTTGGTGCCACCGAGCCGTGCACTTCAACATGGCGGGAATGGCAGGGATCTCTGTCAGCCGTAAAAACCTCGAAAACAATGAGACAGACACAAAGAAGGAGCTGCCAGTAAGACACAACAGGGTGGCGGCCGAGTGGGAGAAGGAGCCTCACCCAGGACCTGCGCGGGGCAGTGCACAAGGCAGGCCCGGCCCGGGCAGGGGCCCTGCATGAGGGGGGCAGGCCATGGCCACGGCCACAGCGGGGGCTGGGGGCTGCCAGTCAGCCCTGTCAGTCGGGATGGCTCTGGGCAGCTCCAGGCCAGGCTGCTCACCACTGTGTGGGAGCAGCCTTCTTCATGGCCGGTGAGGCATGAGGCGCAGATCTGCGATTTCCGTGCTAACAGCTAGTTTGAAACATGGTGTGGGGAGGTTAGGAAGCCTGGCTGCCGGCCTCCCACCCC